TGGCTTCTTACTCCCTTCTCCCTGCGGCAGATCCCGCTTTCACGGCTCCAGCAGCACATTCCAGAGGAGGGATGCCTCTGGATTATCCGGTTCCCTCTCTCCTAGCCTTAAAAGCTTCGGAGCCGCGGAGCAAGCCCATCCACCTCCATCCCGCTTTACTGGTGACCAGCACTTTGCTGCTGGTCTGGCAGCACCGCGGCTGGCCAGGCAGGCTCGGGGGGGAGCCGGCGGTGGGAAAGGTGCACCTTTGAGCCTTTTGGATGGGGATTTTGTGGCCTGGGGAGAAGCTATTATGTCGTCCAGGTGATGTGCCAGGGAAAGCAGCCCTGGGGCTGCGTGTTCCCTTCTCTGCGGCCCAAATCACTCACGTGGTAGAGAGCTGGCGTGCTCGAGGGGAGGATGGAGCAGCGGGCAGAAGTGGTATCGGTGGTCGGTAGCCGGTGAGCCTGCCTTACGTACAGAGTACCCGTTTATGAAAACGGTTTGGCGTAAAAAAAGTCGAAAATATTTATTTTCTGGCTTTGGTAATTGCAGAGCGTCTCTGTAATTTCCCTGTGAGAGCCCTCTTCCCTGCGGTTGCGAGCGGCAGCAAATCCAGCTCCGCGTCGGAGCTGCGTTCCCAGCAGCTCATCGGCTTTCTGACACCGGTTTCATTGATGGGACTCGCTTTCCGTCACCGCGGCTGGGAACTGGACTGGGCCCGGTGCTTTGCAGCTGGCTTGGAACTGGCTCTGTTTCTTAAACGTCATTATCTGGACAGGCTTGAGGCTGTTCAGGTGTCGGTTTTGTTAATTTATTTTAATTCGGTCCGCCACTAACCTTGTGTGATCTTGATAAGGGCGTTTTTCTGTTCCGCAATTGTCGATTGAGGTTAATAATATCCGCTGTAAGCGCCGGGCTTTGAAATCCTCTTAATGAAACCCAAACTCTGGTCTTCCAGGGTGCCTTTACAGGGAGGTGGAGCTCAGGAACCCACGTTGCGCTCCTGGCGCGTCACGTTTTGAGCTCTTTTTCCTGAAATCGCAAGCTGCTTGGGGGCTAAACCCGGTTTCCTCTGTCTTTACAGGAGTACACTTGCCCGAGATGTGAATCTGGCTTTATCGAAGAAGTCACAGATGATTCCAGGTATCGTACCCATCCATACACCGCTTCTTTTACCGCACGCGTACGTTTCTTCTGGGTTCCTGAGATGCCTGGTATAAAGCTTCTAAAAGCTGTGGACAACAAGGATGAAATAAGGAATGCAAAAGAAAAGCTTATATGTTGGCGTGAATTTGGACTTAATACCGGATGAGACTGAAAATACAAGTGACCGTCGGCCTCGTGCTAAAGCCACGTGGAGGGGTTTGGGGAAGGCTTCCGAGAAGGTGGGAGTTGTGAATTAAGGCTGTACGAGGTCCTGCGAACAAAGGCGCTTACGGGTTTTTGAGGTCTGTTTCTTTGGTCTCGTAGAGTGAAAAGCATTGGTTTTTTAGGAATCAAGTTTGAATCTCGGGGACTCGCGATACCTTTTCGCCTCTGTCTCCTGACTGTGTCTCTGGTCTCACAGCTGCGGCCGAGAGGGAAAGAAATACGTTTTCTCTCTATGGTCGTTGGTCACCCAGCAGAAGACGCTGCCGGCAAGTTAGGGATCCAAAATGATGCCTGTTTAGTCCTCACTGTATTCGGTCTTGAGTAATTGCTGGGAAAACTGCTTTATTTGGGTTGGGGGCAGGCAAGACGCAAGGGCAGGCGGTTACGTGAACCTTTGCTGCCTGAGACTTGCCGCAGCATGAATTTCTGGATGGGGAGAGGACTTAATGTCACACTACATCTTCTTTTTAAACATAAGTGTATACCTGTCGCTTAAGGCAAGAGTGGAGGGGTCCTCTGGGGCACAGGATCCCGTTTGCAGGATGCTCCGTCTCAAACGCCTCCTCTGAGGAGGCTCTGCCGGAGTGCGGATGGTTAGAAACCCGTTTTCTTCCAGGGTCAGGTTGTGCATAGCGCGCTGGCACGTAACCGAGCGTTTTAACTTCAGTAGTCCTCTTCTGTCTGTAGGAATTACGCCGCTGCGTTCGCACAGGCGGGCTCGGTTCGCTCATCCCTTCCCCTCTCAGACCACACGGGGACTGTCTTGCTCGCACGAGCTGCCGTCTGTATTTAATTCCGGAAGGGGAACTGGTTTCTGGAGGGGTGACCTGCTCTCACTCGCCTGTTTTTCTTCAGTTTTCTAGATGGCAGCGGCATAGACGACGGCCCATCCACACAGTTCGCAGAGGTGAGTTCTGCTGCCGTGCTTTTGTTTTTTGAAACTAGCCGTGAAGAGGTTTTGAGTCTCACCTCCAGGTGCAGGACGCGAAGGCACCCTCGCTTGCTGCCTTGTAAAAAGGACAGCTGATCTTCCGAAAGAGTTTTCAGGAACTCGGCAGGTTTTGAGGACGCTGTTGACGCTGCCACTGCCAGAAGTTTGCTCAGTGGGCAGGGCAGGAAAAGAAGGACAGCGGAAAGACGTGCTGGCAGATGCCGGGGCATGTGTCGGCGATGCTCAGCCAGGCAGGGAGGGTGTTGCCCGACTGCCCTTTCCTCCCTGCTCGCTGCTGCTCTGACCTTGACCAGAACCGCAACTCTCTAAAAAGTCCAAACTTAGAACAGAATCTGCGTCTTGTAATTCAGTGGCGTGGGCCTCCGAGCGGGGGCTGTTGGGCGGCGAGGGCTGGAAGCATCTTTTTTTTCCCCGTTACCTAAAATATCGGAA